TACTGGGCTATCCATTTTGTGATACTACCCATTCCACAGTTCAATCAGCATCTAATTCACTTCTTTTTTTTTTAAATAGACCTTCCGGTTCTCGCTACGGCAGTTTTCTGTAAAACTTATGACTCTACCCCTTGTTTTAATCCGCTGACTAATTTAGAGACTTGACTTTTAAATCTGATGAGGTTCCTTCAGAAAAGGCTGCAATTAATGTATTATTTATTTAATTCCCCGTCATGCGTGACCAAATTAAAAATAGCTTGGTGGGGGATTACGAGTTTGTTTAAGGATCGCGGTATAATAATAATAATAATAATAATAATAATAATAATAATAATAATAATAATATTATTATTATTATTATTATTATTATTATTATTATTATTATTATTATTATTATAGATAAATAGCATTTTGTATAGCGCAAATCCCCGCTCAACAGCAAGCTCTATGCGCTTCACAATCTAAACCATTACCCCAGATGACCTGAGAGCATTCTGAAACAACCTCAGCTTCCTGGGAAGCATACAGTGCAAGCAGTCATTTATCGGCGCTAAAACACCAGCATGCTGACAAGATCTTTCGCTGTCTATGGCCGGGTACCCATGCCGACCTGGTTGATGAGAGGATAATTCGTGTAAAGTGCCTTTCCGAAGGACACAACGTCGGGCCCATGGCTCGAAGCCCCGAACCCGTAACCTCAAGATTACGAGTCCGGTAGCTTAACCACTAAGCCACCGAGGCCACATAGTAGTCTTAACTGATACGGATTCATAAAAAAAATCCTGTCTGCTCTTCTCCTGATGTAAAACCCGTCCACTCGATATAATGCATCATGTCCTTGTAGTTTATAGAATTGGGCTGTGTATACTGGCTTGCTTACAGTGACGTATCCGCTTGGATCTAAATTCTCAGAGAAAAACAACATCGTTGCATTAGGTGAAAACGTCAGTTTCAAGACTCTGGAACAGTTTTCCGACGATGTCTCCCGCTTTCGTCTCACTTTGTGAGGAAAACAACCCCCACCCCCTCCTCCCCAATTTGTTTGTGTTGGGGGTTTTATAACAGGAGGTCAATGTTTGTGGCTCTACTGGTAAAGATTAAAAGCTTGGATTCTAATAAAGGATGCGGTTCTCATAACAACAAAGATAACCAGATTGTCAGAAAGTCTTTAAACTTGAATGAAAGACACGTATATTGATGCTTAACGGTAATTCAAAGCTGGGGAAAAGATAGCTATTCTGACAGAAACAAAGGAAAGATGGTATGGGAGTGGCACCTTCCAACCACCAATGCTCCGTCAAAAAGACAACACAATTTTTTTTTAAAGTTACTGTCAGTGGTGCAATGGTTAAGCCCCTCTCTCACCCTGCACATAAAGCATGGGAGTTTGATTCTCAAGAGAAGAAGATGTTGTGTTGAAATACCTCCAGCTTCCCACTGTCATGATTCAACCACCCCCACCTAGGTTGCCCCTAATTGACTATGCCTAAAAACCCTACGTACTGTGTGTGTATACCGGCTATCCTACGTACTGTGTGTGTATACCGGCAACCCTTCGTACTGTGTGTGTATACCGGCAACCCTACGTACTGTGTGTGTATACCGGCAACCCTACGTACTGTGTGCGTATACCGGCTATATTGTGTCGACGGCAGAGTAAAGTACTCATAACTATTAAAATTATCCAATCATAATGTATACATTATGTATAGAGAGAAAAAAGGGGTTCATCTTAACTAATTACTAACTAGTTAGTCAAATAATATTTTTAAGCCGGATATATTGGATCCAGTTTCATCAGAAAGTGAAGTTTTGATGGCACTCAGATAATAGTATTAACAGAAATTGGTCCTAAAGAACATCAACCACAAAAAGGAGTCTGCTATCTGCAGGGGAGAATCTCGTTAAAAGTAAGTGAACCCTGTAGATTTGTAGAAGCGAAGTAGGGCCTGGGAAAGACACAATTTTCATTGACAGTGAAAGTGCAGTTGTTGGTAAGATAAATACGTTTCCTAGTGGGACGCTAGGTAAACAAACAGCATGCTATATCTATTTCATCGTCTCTGCTCTCCTTCTTTCTTTCTGTCTTCCCCTTTCCTTCCTTCTTTTTTTCTTCTTTCCTGCCTTCCTTCCTTTTTCTTTACATTGAGAACCAAACCGAGTGCTCTAGCTTCTGTTGACTAATATAAGAAATGTAAGGCGTAAAATCCTAACAAGAAGAAATGGGAACAAACGCGAAAGACAAAAAAATTAGGTAGATAAACGTCTAGTTTAAATTATTATTTTGCATCAGCTCCCAGCTTCGTTGTTCAGGAAAACTACAAGTACGAGCTCTTGCATTTCATAAAACACAAACAGATGTGCTACAAAAACACAACATAAATCGTTGTTATTTCTTTTTCGTAAAATAACATCAGACTCGCTCTTGCTGAAGTGCATTGCAACAACAGTTGTTTACTCGTTAACTCGGTGGTACAGAGCGGGGTTTTTTTAATAAAGAAAGACGAGCTCTTTAATTAAAACACCCGAACCAACTATAACAAACTTTCATCCCAGCATGGATCGGAAGTGTATGCAAACTATTTTGGTACGGTACTGATTATAACAATAACGATGTTAATGATTATATTATAACATCATCGTTACAAAAATATAATATTGATAATAAAAATCACCACCACCATCAGCATCGTCGTCGTCATCATCATCATCATCATCATCATCATCATCATCATCATCATCATCATCATCATCATCATCATCATCATCTTCATCTTCATCATCATCATCATCATCATCGGATGAGGAAGTAGAAGAAGGGGGAGATGGAGGAAGAGGATGGGAAAAGCTTCGCAATTCATTAAGCGTCTTGTATAATAGTCATCCCCCGATCATTGCCAAACAGAAACAAACTATGTTACAGCTTTCCTCGGCCTCCACCTGTTAAGTGTTTTTGACCTCATTCAGAACAACCGAAACAACATTTGGGATGCAACGTGTGAAATTAACGCCTCGTTCGGTACTGTATGTATAATTAAGAGGCAGGACCTCCGTATTATATCGTCCATCTCTGAGAGAACCGAGCAAAGGAGGTGGAGAGTCTTGACAACTCCGCACAATCCTGCTAATCTAATCCATAGTCCAACATAATACCAGCTGAGCTAACAGTTTGTCCAGTATTTCAAGATTATGTGATCAAACTGTCGTATCTATAAAAAAAAAAAATTACAATTTCTCATAAGAAGTAAAAAGTTGGTTTCAACCACTCTTCGTTTTACTTACAAGCGCTCGTGATATTTCGTGATACCAGCATAGTCTGCTTAAAACCCTGGCCGATAACTTTGCAGGTCTCCACATCTAGGAGAAGTAACCTGATAATGCTGGTTTGTAGGGAACGAATTGTGCATCTGTACTGGAAGGCATACATGTCTAGAAATTTTTCAATGAAAGTGCTTTCGGGGGCCTATTATTGCCACCACAGTACTACTTCGC